AAATTTAAGATTTTTCAGTTTAAATTACAACAAATTACAGTAACGCCTTATTCTATAAATTATTGCAGTAGCAATCGATTTTCGAACGCTTGGTTGCATTATACCTACCAACTTATTGGCAAAATTCTAAAAAAAAGCTCTTTCGTTTAAGGGTTGACATGATATATAAATTTACTTTTAAAAATAAAACATCTTACACTATAGGTAACCCTAATAAAAGAGAAAGGAAAAGGAAATACTAAAAATAACTTCAAAAATCCATTCTGCCTAACATCTGCGTCTAAGATAAGGTTATCTGTGTCGCTATTTTATCTGTGCTTAACGACTTTTTGGCGCGAACTTTCGGCGCCATTTTTTTGCGTCACCTCACACATCGTTGATGAAGTAATTAAGGGGAAAATTGATGATTTTTTTGTTTTGAAATGTGTCCCTTTTTTTAGTGAGTGAGTATTGGCGATAATAGATAGGTGGCGGGCTTGTTAAGAATACTGCATTGATAACTTTACACCCCCTCAAAAATATTAACTTAAAAAGTTTTGGTACTTAATTGTAAAATTTAATAATCCAGGGACGTATTTAAAGTTGGATTAGAAAGTCAATTGTTCTGTTACCTACTTAGAGTAATTTGATGACTGAGTTTCGGCATTATTTTGTTCCTTTAGAAAAAAATGTTAAATGTAAAATATAGTTAGACTTCAGAACAACAGGAAAAGTCACTGGGTGGATTTTAGTCGAAACCTTTGTGAGGGAATGTTAGACTTTTACTGACTAAACCCATTCCTTCCCCTGCTCTTGGCCGAGGCCCTGGGGACTTATTGCGCTTGTCCCGCAACCCTGACTGAACAGGCGGCAGCGGCGAGCTTGCCTTACTCGCCCGCCATCCGCAGACCCGCACATATGGTGGCAGGAGAACATCTCTCGATGCCCGATGTCCGGAGTGTCGCCTACTGTGGCGGCCGGGGCGTGAGGAGGATAGCTCCCTTACGCGCTTTTCCTCCTTATCTGCGAGCCCGAGCCCGAGCTCAGCCCAAGCAGGGCACACCGCAACCGTATACTCCACCCTGCCCTCGGAAACTCTTTCTCGCCCCATACAGGGCGGGAAAATAACTGTCCCTCAAAAAGGTAAGATAATTAATAAGGAACTTACATTTTTACGTGCACTCCTGGTGAGTTAGCCCGGCTCAGAAAGATTTCTGAATTTATACCTACAATATTTAAATAAAAACGTACAAAACTGTGATCTAAATGTCAAAATCATGAATTTCAAATTCCATTACCCTAAATCACTGATATCCATTAAATTATCTCCTGTGTAATCCATCAATGTAGATACATCCAAAAATAGTTTTATAAAATACTGCCATAAAATCAGAATGCGCAGAGCTGTTAACTATAGTTTTAAGTGCTTCAAATATAGATGGCGTTAAAACTAAAAATAAAACATTTTTTTCTTGTATCTGTTCTATACATGGCTAAATATTTGAAGGTTAGATAGTAGGTAAATAGTTATTTAGATATGTTTGAGTAACAATCAATGATTTATTTTTATGTATATAAGTCTTCAAATAAAAATATTCAAGTTTGTTTATTCATAGGTATGTTATTCATAGCTTGAATTTAATTGTTGAATATTTTAGTAAGTAGTTTCAAAGCTACACAAAAATAGTAAGTAAACCTATAGTAAAATAGATTTCCTATGGAACTTGTAAACAAATAAATAGAGGCCATTCATTTAGGTTTTAAATACAGGTTGTCCTTATTTCTAAAAACTCAAACTTGACAAGCCAAAATTTGACGTGTCCAGGCGAGAAGTGCTCTTTTACATAATAGTGCACCAACTTTGTACACACTTAATACCATTAGATTTATCACATTTTATCTTAGATACATATTAATATTTACTTAATAGGTAGGTACCTATACTGAATTAGTTGTGTTCACAATCGAGTACAATGTTTTTTACTTTTAAGTGATTACCTACCTATTAGGGTAGACTGGGTACGGTTGTGACAATTTTCAAATGATTGACTATAGCTTTTTATTTATGCTATTAATCTGAACAAAAAATGTATTCTAATGAAGTTTATTCATTACTTAAAGTATAAACATGAAAGTATATGTCTAAATCAAATGGTTAGTTCATAAAATGAAATTTAAAAAAAAAGGTAAATTGTCACAACCGTACCCACCCCAAGGGCGGTTGTGACAGTACTGGGGGTCAATAGTGACACGATGAAAATACTGTAACATGATCACAAAATAAGATAAAAATACTCTAAAATGCCAATAAAACACTTTAATTGCAAAAAATATTTATTTATTTTTATATAATAATCAACTAAATTATACTTTCCTAACAAAAGAATTAAAATCTTGGAACATTTTAATTTCTTACAACATATAAGGCACTATAGGATCTTTGGTTACAATCAGTAGTCTTCATTAGTACAGTCAGTCTTCATCTATACCCACTATTTAAGTACCTTAAAGTATTTATAACAGTCTGCACCAAATATAATATATTAATCATGTTCATAATCACATTAGAACTTAAACTCTATTCTATTTTGAAACTAAACTCAAAACATCTTTTAAACAGGAACTCAAATATTTTTTTAGAAATGTAGCATGTGAAAATTTATAAAAGTAAGTTTGACAACTAATCTAATGACAAATATAATACCGACTACCATTTGTACAGTTTACATGGGCCCAAAGGTTACACTTTCCTTGGCATCTAATCCATTTTTCGCCAGGCCTACTTTCAGAATATGGACCAAGGCACACCAAACAAAAATATTCTTCTTCATCTGATATTGACGGTGATTGTTTCCTTTTCGTTGCTTTACCTTTTCCTTTTCCTTTCGGCTCATTAAGATTTTTTTTGATGCCCTTTGCCTTCAGTCGTTTTTCTTTTGCTTCGTATTCTTGCCTGACTGCCTCTTTTTCAGGCGTGTCCGTGTAAATCGTAGACTTCTTGGTTCTAGGTCCTCGCGTTTTTCTTTGGGAAGCTTTTGGAAAGGGCCGAACAATTTCAGGAGAAAAAACTGATGGTATGGCAGAAGTAGATGGTTCTAATATAGAAGGTGAAAGTGGTGGATTTTTATTATTAGGTCAGTGCAAAACATCATGCATTTCCGCAGCTTGTCTAAAGAAGTCCCACGTTTAGTTTCTTTGTAAGCATCTTCACACTGATTCAAGCTGCACTGTGCTCTTGTAGTCTTTTGTTTGCGTATTCTAGGCATCTAAAACAATAAACAACCGCTTTTACTTATGTCACAACCGTACCCAGTAAAAATGTCACAACTGTACCCACAGATCGTTTTAATAAAAGAAACACCACCACGTCAAAAGAAAATAACCTACAATAAATGTAACCACTGATATTACACTGCTACTATTTGATTTATATTGATGAACAACACTCAATACCCTATCAGTATACATGTAATAGCAATTACGAAATAATAATGAATCAAAATACTTACTTTTTGCGTTCAAAAATCAAAATGTGCTCCTGGTCACTTACACTCTGCGCGTCGGATGACGCAACACTGTGACACAGGTTGAGACGTGCAAGGCGCCCGTCTTTCCCCTTGCACGCCCCCCGCTAATCCCTATATTTTCGACAATACAGCGACTGTCACAACGGTACCCTGGCACAACCGTACCCAGTCTACCCTACATGAAGGTTTTAACTTATCTTGCAAACTATGCCTTATATCCTAGTGAGGACGTCACGTGTTCATTTACATACCTATCTATATAGATAATGTTTATATTTTTTTAAAGAGTATCTAACAATGGAATTTTATATCTCGTTCTTCTCCATTTCAATCTACACTTTGGAACGAGCTTCACTGACAGACTATAATTCCATTTTGACGTTTCTAATGTGCCTGTAGGTATATTGTTTAGTTGGGATAAATGTTCTTGACTTTGAAATAGTTTTTTATTTTGATAAAAATACTTAGTGGTCCTTGTATTGCATTGATAACTGAGCTGTTTTGCCTCATGCGTAACCGCTAGTATTTGTGAGCTATAAGTACCTACCTATGTTAGAACTATCTTGCTAAACCTTAGGCGTTTTATTGTAAACGAATTAAGAATACTTATTTCCAGACAGTGAAAAAAAATTAAAAGTTTATTATTTAGATTATTAAGTACGTTCACGCGCATAAAAAACATTACCTACGTACGTATTCTGCAGAACTTTGTTCAGAAATCGCACAGCTAGATAATAAAATAGTTGCGCATAATGTTAAAATATAAGAAAAAATTGCAAAAATGTGTAAGGTAAGCAACTCGAAGAAAGAATTGTTTGCAATACCTACCTACTATCTAATTTGGATCGAGTGATAACAAAAGCTATCCTTCTATTTGTACGCAATCTATTAAATTATTCGCTGACGACCAGCTGATCCGCCCCTGTCTCATCCCCATCTGACACAGAAACTCGAAACACGATCGATAAAACGCACCTCCCATCAAATAGGTCGCGCCTAACTACGCCACTACGGAGCTAGGTAGTCCAAAGTCCCCATAAAATTCGACCCGTAGTACGTAATGACGGTCACTTAAAATTCAGCAAACAAGCAACAACATAAATAATACCATTTACACACAGTCCGGATCAAATAAAAATTGGTTCGCGATTAATCAAAAACAAAACACGAAACACCAAAGATTAACATGGCAAGATTATAAAAAAAAGTACAAAAAAAAAACATACCGAGTCGACGGATCAAAATCATAAATCATGCTCATTATATCCGAACCGGATTATTTTTTACCGAATAAAATGTTCAAAAAAGCATCAAAAGGCTGTAGGGAGCGCCATTTTGTAAGGGCACCCTCGATTTGGGCGGGAAAATGGGAAGCTACCTGCCAATCAGCGCGCTCGTTGCCAATAGGCGTTCTACGATCCCACCAATGGGAGGGAAGGACGGTCTGCTCATGCGCTTTCGAGTCGATCCATAGAATTATAGATATAATACGGCAGTGTGGGCTTGGCCGGCGCGGGGACACGACGTGTGTGACAAACGAACAATTTTTTTTTTGTAGAAATTAAATGTCGAAGTGCCTAACAGTTATTAGTGGAATTTTTATTTAAGCTTAAAACAACATTTTGGTGTATTCAGTTTGTGATAGAGACTAAAGTGTTTGAAAAGGAACTTTATTCAAGTGTAACATAGTAGACATTGGTAAAACACATTTATATTCATACAGTGTGATGTCATTGCAATAAATAAACAACTGGATCCAGTTTCTGAAGCAGACAAAGCGAGCTGTTTGTAGGAAAAGATAGAAAAAATAGAGTAGAAACGAAAAAAATCCGGTTGTAAGCGGTTTTTGCAAGGGTTTATTGGTTAAAGAATTAAAGGTGATCACCGGTGACGACATAACTGCGTCAGTGATGGTGATGGCCAGTGGGGGAGGTGGTGGACTGGTCCAGTCCCCACCCGACATGATGCACCATCACAATATCATGGACACCTCATCACACGTCGAAATGATGCCCAGTAAGTATTTTATTTATTCTTTCTTTATTAAATAAATCTTCTGAGTGCGGCCCTGGTCATTTGTTGTTGTTTTTTTCTATTGCTTTTCAAATAGGATTTTGTCGATTGCGGATTGATAGCCTATCGCTGAGTACAATCTAGGCTATTATGTTTTCAGTCTTTTTTTATTTCATTAACTTACACATACTTAGGTATTTTTCAATTTTTTTCATAAGAATGGTAGGAGTTCTTTAAGTTTATATTCATCAATCAATACATACATTGTCTTCAAAATAGGATGAATAAAAAAAATTTTTTTTTTTTGCAATAATGGTTAGGTAGGTATCTACCTAAATTAGTAAATTCACTTCAAGTCTTTTAGGCGTTTTCTTAAAAGCAACTTTTTTACCGACGTTTTAAAAACGACATACCTACTGAGAACAAAATTCTAAAAGGTTTACTTGGAAAAATAATACCTATTATAAATCAAAAGTGTGGTAAGCGCATTGATAATGATTAATTTACCTATAGGAATTTATCCGATAGGTAAATTGTAGGCTAATTTGAAAAATAAGTTGGAGACGGACTCCGGTTGCTTACGATCTACATGAAATAAGAGTTTTTTTTAAATATCGTAGGTACCTACCAATCTAGATGCTAAGAACATATCATAGGTATTTTTTAATTTACTTAAATGAAATGGAATACACTGGAAATACAGTTAAAAAAAACCAAGCAAATGTACCTACTTACATTGAATAGACAGTTCAATGAAAGTCATCAAAATAAGAATCGAAAAAAAAATCATTTGCAAGGTCTCATACCTGGCTTTAAGTGCAAATGTAACAAAAATAAAAATCTGAACAAAATTTTAGGTAAAAAATTAGCTCTACAAAAAAAACACGTTACCTACATTAGTACACCTACCTGCTAAATGTTTACGTCCTAAAATTACAAAATTCCCAGCACATTGTTAGTACAGTGAAGTGCTAATCTAATTATTTAGTGACCATAGATGGCGTACGTGCGACACCCGGTTCCTTACCGGTTCGGATCCGATCAGCTTTTAAGAGAAAGGTGACAATTATACAAAATTATCAACACGGTAACATCGCGTGTGTTCCCGTTTTACGATTCTTACGATTTTTTATTTATGACAGATTATTTTTTGTAGCGTAAATAAATATTTGAATAAATTTTTCATAAATTTAGTTTATATGTTGAATTTATTTATTCATGAATAAATAGTTTAGTTTCTGTGTTTTTGATAATTTCGTCGTAAGTACCTATTCTAGAATCAGTGTTTTTTTTCTAATTAAATATTTATGACGTAATTTTATGAATGAAATATGTGTCTGTTATGCAAATGCATACCTGAAGAATGTGTAGTTTCGTCGTATTACCTACCTACCTATCTATGGTAAAATATTTAATATATACCTACTATAGCTATAACTACTAATTTTCTATTTTTGGCTTAGGTATACCAAATTTCATCCAGTTTCGAGTTTATAATATTAATAAGTACCTAGTATAGTATACCTACAATTTCCAATAGTTTTGATCAAACCAATCGACATTTTTGACAAACAAAAGGTTTTTATACCTACTTATAAAAAAAATATGAAATAATAGGAAGATTTTACCTTTTAGGTACCTAGTCTATCTCACCGTTTGATATGTCAATAGTACCTATATAATTATTTTAAAGAAATATGTATAACTCGATTTCTTTTTTAAACTAATAACTTTGAATTTGAAGATAAGTTTTTTATTATTTTAGGAATACCTACTCGTACATTCCTAATAAGTTGTATTTAAGTGCATATATCTAAATTAACACTAGGTATATGATAAACACTAGGTATATAGTAATAGTAGGTAAGTAGGTAATTTTCTAAAAGTTTTTATAAGTAAATTAATTCAAATAGTTAACCAAGTAAGTACATATTTGAATAACTAAAAATAAATTCAACTTACATTTTGCAAAGAATTTTACCTTATTTTTTTTGTATTTTTTTTCGTTCAATAAACTCGATATTTTTCATCCAACACGTAGGTACTTACAAAGGTACATCTATAGGTATTCGCAACTAGTCAACTCAATAAGTCAATATTTTAACGAACTCAAGGTTTTTGCGCGACTGTCTTACATTTATATCAAGGCAAAAACAAAAATGTAATGAACATTAATGAATTTGTTATAAAATATATTATAAATGCACCATAAAGAAAGTCACATTCTAAGTTTTTGATGTGACTTAAAAAATACTAGCATAGGAAAGACACATTTTCTTTAAAAAATGCAAATTAATGTTACCTACAAGTATTAAGTTCTATAGAACCGCATCAAAATCCGTTGCGTAGTTTTAAAGATTTAAGCATACATAGGGATATAAGGACAGAGAAAGCGACTTAGATTTATAGGTACTTATTATGTAGCGGTTGTGTTGAATCTCTTTACATCATATTTTATTAATTTGTTATAAATTAAATTGCAATAAAATAAATACCAATTTAATTAATATTGTGGAGTGTGTGAAATGTACGTTTTAAGGTCTAAACAGATGTTTGAGATGTTTTGTTTTCTACTTATTTTACATTACATTACATTAATATATACGGTACGGTCAAGTACCTACCCAATGCAAACCGATTTCCGAAATTTTGAATGAAGAAAATTGAGTTCGATAGCTAATCTCAATTAATGATTTAAATTATTGAAATGAAATTCTTAAAAAATAAAAAAAAATATTGCAAAAAAATCTAAACTCTAAAATAGCCTAAGAGTAAGTACACTGAAACTAAAATAAATATTTTTTGCAAGTGTGTGTAAGTATCATTTGATATTATTTTTAACAAAAAAAACTGGACCATTATTTTTGTCATAAATGTTTTTTATGAACATTAAAAAAACAATTTTCATAAAAGTCAATTAAAAATTTTGCGAACGAGGCTTGTATGCACTTTACGTTACAAAACAAAAAAAAAACTTATAATATTTTTTTGTTAAGATCCCGTTATTAAAACTATTTGTTTAAATAACTATTTTTATAACGATGCCGCTATGCGCATAAAAATTACACAGCAAGCTGTTAGGTATATTAATATTTTAAAGCATAAAAACATTATTAACCATAGAGTCAGTAGTAAAACCTCTGTTTTTATACTTAAAGTCTTGCATTTAGTTTAAAACGGTTTTTAGATTGTACTATTAATGCTTACAGGTGTATTTCAAGTAGGCTAGGTAATAAAATAATTATTTTTTATACAAAATCTAACGGGAACCTAGTTCCGTAGTTAGGTTAGACAGAGGGCGCTAGTAACTAGTTTTATGGTTTTTGAAAATTTTCAGTTAGGTAGGTTTACTATAGGTAGTAGGTGCTCATTGAATTTAGCTTAAAATATGTACATATTAGGTGTAGGGTAGAACCGGGTAATACCGGTCAGGAGGTATTACCGGTCAATCTAAAATCTCAAAAACTACTGTGTTCCGACGCAAGTACACATACACAGCGAGTGGCGTGATGTCGCCGAGCGACATCTCCCCGGTCCCCGCTTAATTCCGCAGGCGACTTCTTGGGTGAATTCACGTCGTTTGTTTTCGCGCCTAGTTGATGTAAATTTTCGGGATAAAACGATAACAGGTGAGTGTTTATAATTTCACGTTTCTTACATTGTAACCTAGTATTGTTGCACCATAATTACTTAGCATTCAGAGTCATAATCGTTTTTTAACTTATTTGGTCAGGTTTAATATCCAGAAGATTTTTTATGAAGATGTTGCGAGTCGGGCAATGCCGGTCATGCTGACCGGTATTAACCACAAGTAAAATTGGTAAACACGGGTATAATTTATTTTACTATTAATGTTTTTTTTATTATTTTAGGATGGCTAAAAGAAGAAGCCAACCCAATTCAAAGGCGTCGTGGAGCCAAGAGCAACTAAACAGGGACAAATAATGAAACAACTACATTATGACAACCCCGTTCCTTCTATTTCCAGCATTGGTTAACCTGTCACTGTTAAGGATCTTTTGCCACTACGAAATTAGTCGAGGGACAAGAAAAAAACATACGATCTCGCAAACAGTATTAATAGAAACTCCCAACAAAGAACCTTTAGTCGAGAAAGAAAACAGAAAAATTATAAAGGAGAAGAAAAAGCCAATTCTTAAAATAAAAACCGAAAAAACGACTGATAAAAAAAAGGAAAATCAGTGGAAGTGAAAAAAAAGCTAAAAAGATAGTGCTAAAGTGCTCCAAGATATAAACAAATGAAATGAGAGGACGTCGGACTCAGAAGTAGAAATGACAGACCTGCATAAAGACGAAGACACCGATGCTGACGAAGATTATGAAAACAAATGTTTAATTTGCAATGATTATAGACGTGATAACGAGCTCTGGTATAGATGTGTGCTGTGTGGTGTCTGGGCGCACTCTGAGTGCTCTGGTTATGACTCTCCTGTGGGTTTCATTTGCGACTCATGCCTGAACAAAGCTTGACCGGCATTAGCAACCTACTGACTGGTATTACCTGCCGATGTGTCTAATACCAGTCAAACTCGATTTTTTTTTAAATGCTGATTGTGTTAAATTTGTTTAAATCATTGATCTGAATTAATGTGATTTTGATAGAAGAATACCTATAGTTTGATCGTTAAAAGGTTAAATAAAGAAATGTTTATAATTATTTGATTTGTGATCATTTTGCCTTAAGTGACCGGTAATACCCATTCTTACCCTAAATACTTATGAGTCACCGCGGCCTCGGCCCAGAGCAGGAGAAGGAACGGGGAGTTTTGAGTCAGTAAGAGTCTGACACTCTCTCTCGCCTTACCCTGGGCGGGAGAGTCATTTGATGATTATTCCCTGACAAAAAAAAGGTGTAAATACTTAATTAATTGTATTAAGATGTGACTAATGAGAAATCACATTACTATACTACATAGGTACCCTACTTCTGTCTGTACAGACCCTGTAGGCTATTCAGGTCTAAAATACTGTAAGTAATAAAA